AGTAATTGTAATACAATAATATGTGGCTTAAAGGGTCAATGACTGTATAAAAATGTGTAACTCACAAACTGCCCATCAGCAAATAACATTTAAGTATAAAAAAAGAACATCTAAAATTCTATTTTCTCTTCTCAGTATCTTAAATATAAACATACTCTTAAGATATTTCAAAATGTAGGCTCCACAGTGACCAGAAAGTTGATAATACCAAGAAATACATGGTCCTGTTTTGGGTGCTTGAATTGTTTTGTGAACACATTTCACTTGAGTGTCTCCCGTGGTTACAGCCCAGTTGGACGCAAAGATCACCATATCTGATAGCACGTAGCAAGTATCCTCAGCAGATTCAATGCACATCAGTTTTTTACTACATAAAAATAGTTTGATAGATGCTGTCTTCCTCCTGCACACTGTCTGGAAGGTCTTTTAGATGCTTTGCAGCTACAATAATGGAGGTTCATGAGCTGTGTTTTATTTCCTTGTTCTGTAATCTAGAAAGACCAATTCCACATTGACAATAACCTGTGTGGCCCATGGATGAGATGGAGAAAATGGAAGCAGATGGGACACATCTGCTAACCATAAACATTTCTTCATTAGTGTCATCCTCAGATTTATGTGTGTTATGTGTTTGTGAAAGACTCTGACATTGATCATATTTAATCTATATTTTTAAACAATCAAACCACTGGCCATTTTTCATAGACGTGGATCAAGATGTACATGTAATACAGATGGACTTTTTTGTTGTTGTTGCTGTCAAGCTGCCTCCTGGATGTAAATTACGTAATGTCAGTTACATCCAAATCCTTCTAACAAAGTAGTAAGGGCGTATTACCTATTCACCTAGCTCGGGATAGGAGAAGCCAGCACAGCAGAGTGGAATTAATCAGTGGTGAAGTAAAAGTGAAAAAACAGGGGTGTGCTAGTCCCAGCTATGCCATTTCCCTTTTTGAACCTCGCCAATCCTGCACCTCAAAAGCCTCATCTATAAAAAAGAAGTACAAAACCATGGGATACACCATGAAACTCCACAAAGTGCCTACAGTAGGACTCAAAAGACTGTAATGCAAATGATTGTAAATGATCACGCTTCGCAGTATCAATGTTCCTCCAATAAAGAATGTATTATTTATTTCTAAATCTTGACTTACTATTGGGAAGATTCAAATGCTAGAAAAACCTAAACATTTTTTTATTCAGTTTTCTGCCTGAATCTTAGAATTATTTTGAGGATCCAAGGGAGTTCAGATGCAGGAAAGCTTTTTTTTTTTTTTTTTTTTGCGGTACGCGGGCCTCTCACTGCTGTGGCCTCTCCCGTTGCGGAGCACAGGCTCCGGATACGCAGGCTCAGCGGCCATGGCTCACGGGCCCAGCCGCTCTGCGGCATGTGGGATCTTCCCGGACCGGGGTATGAACCCGTGTCCCCTGCATCGGCAGGCGGACTCTCAACCACTGCGCCACCAGGGAAGCCCAGGAAAGCATTTTTGAAAGTGTTAGAACATTCAGGTAGGAAGGAAGAAAAGTCCGTATTCATACCTCCAAGACTAGAGAGGCCTGGTCTAGTTTTCCAGGTCTGCTTCTCCCCACAACTTGTAAAGAATTGCCTGAAGCAAAGGGCCAGGGCACAGGCAAGAGAGCAGAAGGACTCTGAAACCATCCCCTGCCACAAATCCCGATGCCTGCTGGAAACCATCTCACACAACACAGGTTAATAGAAGCCATCCTTGCAAGCGAAAGACCCTTGTCTTATTTCATCAGCTTCTAACGAAATAAACATCTCCCCCCAGAATGCCTATCTAAACAGAGGAAATAAATTATTGAACACTAAAACTATTCTAACATCACAAAGACTCACAAACCACATAGCAGGCTGAGTCCAGGACAAACTCGGTGTCACTTAGAATTTCAAAGTCATCCCAGTTCTGTCTTACCCTCAGTCCCTTCTTGACACGACCCTTCTTGAAAGCTGCAGGACAATAGGCAGTCATTGATGATAAGAAGGGCAAGAGAAGACGGGGTAATTGGCAAAGAGAGGCATTAATGGATTGACCGGGAAACAATCTATCAGCACTATGATTAAATTTAATAGAATGAAACAAGACAGACCTGGTAGGTGGGAAATTCAGCATGAGAGTCAGATTGAGGCTACCCCAGATCAATTAAATCAGAATCCGGTGTAGACCACACTTTTTTTTAACTCTCCATGTGATTCTATAGTGGAATCAGCATTGGGAATTCTGCATTTAGACCTAATGCAGAATCTAATTCTGCAATTAGACCCTTTTTGCAAACTGGTAGCTAGCTTTCTCCCTACAGCATGATGGATTCTCTAAAACAAAGTCTCCCACTTCATAAGAGGAAGGAGTTAAAGACCCCAACCCCAAGGAAGTGCTCAAGTGTAAGCAGGACCCTCCCAAGGCCAGGATAGTTACAAAAACAAAAAACGAAACTGTATTTTCAACTTGCCTGTAAATTCCTGCGAATGTCTAAGACTGCTGAGACAAAAGCTTAGTCTTTTTATTGTAGTCTCTCAAATAACATTAAAACAAATATCAGGGACAAAAAAAATACTTTCCACGAAAAATTAAGATTTCAGGAGATAAATCAAAGATGACGAGGGTAGTTTCACTTTTTCTTTATTTATTTTAAAAAATTTTGGGGGGGGGGGCTTCCCTGGTGGCGCAGTGGTTGAGAGTCTGCCTACCGATGCAGGGGACATGGGTTCGTGCCCCGGTCCGGGAGGATCCCACATGCCGCGGAGTGGCTGGGACTGTGAGCCATGGCTGCTGAGCCTGCACGTCCGGAGCCTGTGCTCCGCAACGGGAGAGGCCACAACAGTGAGAGGCCTGCGTACCGAAAAACAAAAAAAAAACAAACAAAAACAACAACAACAAAAATTTGGGGGGGGTATTTTCATTTTTAAAAGGAAGGTAAGGCATTGTGAAAAATGCCAATTAAAAACGTCTATCTCATCAATTACCATACATACATATGTAGCCAAACTTGATCAAATGTAATACGAAACAAGCACTAACTAAAAAAAGAATTCTCAAGCTCCAACATCAAGAAGCTAAAATAACTGGGACGTAGGATAAAAAAAAATTTGAATACCGAAGACCAGGGTCAAGCACATTTTTCACATGCTGCAAAAAGCTCTTAAAGTAGTGATTACAAAATTTTTAGAGCGAAGGAAACAGTAAAGATGAATTTGGACCTAGAGACTGTCATAGTGATTGAAGTAAGTCAGAGAGAGAAAGACAAATATATGATATCGCTAATACATGGAATCTAAAAAAATTGTACAGATGAACTTATTTACAAAACAGAAGTAGAGTTGTAGCTGTAGAAATCTTACGGTTACCAAGGGGGAAATGGGGGGGAGGGATAAACTGGGAGATTGGGATTGACATATACGCACTACTATATATAAAATAGATAACCAACAAGGACCTACTGTATAGCACAGGGAACTCTATTCAATACTCTGTAATGACCTATATGAGAAAAGAATCTAAAAAAGAGTGGATATATGTATATGAATAACTGAATCACTTTGCTATACAACTGAAACTAACACAACATTGTAAATCAACTATACACCAATACAAGCTAATTAAAAAAATAAAAGCACTCGGAAAAACAGAAAAAAAAGATGAATTTGGTACATACCATTTCAGTCCTCTGCACACATTCCTCTCTCCTGGCCTGGGGACTCTCTCATGGGGACAGTAGGGTATGGGAAAAGAGAGTGACATCAGGGTAGAAGGTGGAGGATTGTGTGCAGAGGACCCCAAAGCATTTAAGAAGCCTCCTTCAGAATGTATTCCCCATTTGTCAACACATTGCTGAGTGGTCTTGGGATAGCACATTTCGCTGTTTTTCATTTCCCCCAGAAATGGAGTTAGAAAAGTGACCACTGACTTCAGCTGTGATGATTAAAAGGAATACGGGATTTAAAAATAATAGAGTGTCAGGCAAATGCGACACATGACAATTGTTACTACACGGCAGAAGGAGACACATGATAGGTGGAGAGTGACATATATCAAGGAAAATTCGGCACGCGTGGAACAGAAGCCCAAGTGGAACAGAACAGGCGCAGAGAAGGGTTAGAACATAACGCAGCTCAGTCACAAACTAAAATAAGTAAATAACCAACCAAACCAAAACAAAACCCACAATAGAATCTGTAAGGAAAGGGGGGTAAAATCAACACTAGTCAAGGTGGAGAACAAGCAGCCTATAGATCAATGCGCAACAAGAAGCAATAAGAATAAAATTGGAGAATTCTACGGGGGAAACCAAACCCAGAGTCTAAAGAAGTGGGGGGCGTGCTGGTTGGGGGGACAGGTCACGTACTCCCGCTCATTTGGTCAGAATTCCTGAAACCCTTGATCTGTCCATGAAACTACTGGCCGTGCAAAATACAGATGGTGGAGTTTGAAAGACAATAAAACGAGACACACAAGTTATGATGACCCTAAAAAAAAGTCTGCTTAAGTGCTCAAAGGTAAAAGGTGTGCTATTAATTTATAAGTTTAAGCTTATTGCTGCGGAAATGAAAATTACAGAAAGGCCTATAAACTAGTGTGTGTGTGTGTGTGTGTGTGTGTGTGTGTGCGCGCGCGCGCGCGCACGTATGCTTCTTTGGGTTTTTTTCCAGAGGAAGAGTGGGGGAAAGGTACTGTATTTTGGACTCCAACATACTGCTCCAAAAGTAATTTGGTAACCAGATCTTCCAAATGAGATGGCTAAGCAGAAGCAAAGGGAAAAACCAGAAATTCACAACAAAGTTTGTGGAGAACAACACTGAGCTTGTCTAGAGCTCTTTGTAATCTGGCTACTTACTGCGAAAGAAGGAAAAGAACTGGGGAAACTGCTCAGAGCATCCATCTCCCCTAGGGGCCTGACACTGACCCGATCTCTGGGGCGCTCCCCAGGGGACACGCACTCTGCCCGCTGGACTCTCTCTGAACCATGAAAGTGAGTTACCGTACCTGTAACCAGAGCCTGTCGCCGGCCACAGTCCTGCCGATGGCACTGCACTGGAAGGCGGCAAACTGGCCCGCGTTGACCTCCACGTTCTGAATCCGCAGGAAGTGAGGCGTTCTGGCTGCACAAAGAGAAAGAATTAAACAGGTTAAAAGTTGAGATCTGAACTCATAGGTGTCTTTTTTAATCTATCTGCAATTTCCGGCCTTTCCCTTTTGTTTACCTTTGAAGGAAAGAATGCCTTTGCTTCTAAGAGCTTTAAAGATTTCATTAGGATTGTAAAAGAGATTCTGGAAGGCTCTGGTGTGTTCTGCAACAGCCGGGCATTCTGGGATAGAACCAGGCCGAAAGAAGATACTTTATTGTCCCTGCTATGCAAATAATCATAGCTCAGCAGCCTTCTTGTAATAACAGACCTGTATTAATAAAGATTATACTGAGGCCTAATTGATGTTTTGAACAAAAACATATTAGATATTTATACTAGCAACATGAAAAGAACAGTAAGAAGTTAAATGCTGCTGCCAAGGAAACTTTTTAAGCCAAGTACAGAGCTGTGAGTAATATATATTTTAATACAACTCATTGGTATGCAGCATTACTCGTGTAATCTTTCCCAGCTACCAAAAATACTATCCCCATAGACAGATTCTGTGAAATTACGTTGGGACTGCTATAGCACGGCGGTGTTGGCGGATCCGGATTTCCAATTCGAGAAGAAAGAATGATTCCAACTGCTAAACAGCATTAAGTCTCATAACATACATCGTCCATAAGGGACAGCTGTTTAAATAAAGGATCACTCTGTTTGACCTGAGAAGCACAGACCCATTTCCACAGCACACTGAAAATGCGTGTCAGGACCTGGAGTGACAGGTCAGGAATGAAATTTTATGATAACTTCTACTTTTAGGAAAACACTCTCTTATCAAAACAAGGAGAGAGAGAGCAGCAAGAGGTGGGGTGGGGGGGAGGTGAGGGAGTAGAAAAGAAGAAGATAGGATGCCAGTGTTTTCTGGGAGGGATGCATAAACCTGGATGACAGCTAGAAGGCATTCTTTATGCCTTGTCAGCCTCCCCCCAGGGCCAACGTGTCTCTGGACCACATCTAGACACTTTCAAAGAATGGTACCCCACTCCTGGGCATCCAAAGATGATAAACAAGCACTAAACGTTAGCCTGTAAAAAACATAATTAGGAGTGGAAATGAATTAGTATCCAAGAACAAAGAAAAATGCATTTTAATACCAGTAACACAGAGGAAACCCCCATTACTAATTTGGAGGCCACCAATACCTCAGACAATGCATTCATGATGCCTGGCAGGCAAAATGTCCTAAGTAACTTCTAAAAAACCAGTATAACTCTGGGTCATTGTTTCTAATACTATTATATTAACTTAAAGCCCTGTAAACTATTTCTCATTAACTTAATCAAATTCCCCTGGTCAAGAATAACAGCATTCTATGGTTTTAAAGATCTGTGTAAAAAGTCCTTGCATCAAATTTCTCTTCTACTCACTGTTCCCAAGAAGCTGGAAGACCCACTGCTTTTAGAAAATGGAAAAAGGTAACGTTCTTTTCGAGCATTTCAGGGGCCAGAAACTTTTCCATTGATGACTCACACATGTTCTGTGAGGAAGGTATTTTTTCCATTTTACTTGTGGGTACTTGGCTACTAAGCGTCAGAAGCAGAGTGGAAACTTTGGGCTAGCCAGTTCCAAAGCTCAGGCTCTGCCCATCAGGCCACACTGCCTCGGTGAGCCTTGCAGCCCGGTGTCTGCCTTCCCCATGCTCTCATCCCACCAGGTATGGCTCCCAGTCTGACTGCTGGAATTCCAGCTACTTTCAAGGACCTTCTCCAATGCTTTTCCTTCCATAAAGCTTCCATGGATTCCCTTAGCTTGCTGTTAGACCCTTGAGATAACACATGTCCTCCGTCAGGACATCTCACTGATGTTACCCTCTCCTGTCCATCTCATGGCCTCCTAACTCTGCTTGCCTCTGGCTGCAGGTCACTATAACGCATTGGGTCTCTAACACAGAGTGTTGGGTGTGTAGCCATCTTTCATGACAACTTGGGTTAAGGGGGTGTTATACCTGCGGCTGCTGGTCTGCAGCGTCACCGCACGTGGTTAAGCTCAGGGTCAGTTCAGAGCCTATGCTGAAGTGTTGTTAATTATTTTGAGTATCACCCCTGCTGTATCCTCCCACAGTTAGCACTGTTAGAATACTTTTGACACAAATTGCTGAACTGCTTTCCTTAGGGCGTATGACAATTGGCATTTCTACCAGCAGAGTAGAAGAGTACTCTTTTTACCACGCCCTCAAAAATGTTAAGTGTTAATTTCTGTAATCTTTCTGGAGAATCTGATTAAATATATGTGCTCTGCTTCATCAGCTTACTTAACAATAATAAATAACAGGAATATCAGAATTGTCACTGGTTCTGCTATAGGTCTGTCCATCCATAGTAGGTCCGCCCTGGAAGGTTGTTTTCCTAAGGGCCCTGCTTCTAGCAATGGCTACTGAACCAAAGAGAAAGACATAGCAAAGCTCATTTATCAATACAATTTGCTAATTGTATTAGGAGTTCTATTAGAATATAACTTACATTTTTAATTTGGTGGCCAAAGATAGGATTGTGTGATAGTATTTCTGTACCCCCATCCTTATTAAGACATGCTGCCCAGAATGAGGGCTATCCCTTCTCCTTTAGAATGGATTTGATGTTCAATACGGTTTTCTCAAAGACACCAGGGCTTATTACTTGCACAGTAAGGTTAAGAGTCTAAGGAATTGATACCTCTGTTCAAATTGTATTTTGGGAGGGTTCTTCTCTGAACAGATTGGCTGTGTTCAGTTTGGGAAATAGTGTTTCTTGGTTGAGAAGAAGACTGCCAGAAAAAAAAAAATAGTCTGACTAAAATAATAAAGCCATACCTCCAATGGAAATCAGATGAAGACAGAAAAACCTATTAAGTGTAAACACTTTTATCAGCAAATTATCCTTTTCAAGAAAGAGAATTAATTCAATTAATTAATTCATCCACCAGGGTGAATAAGACAAAGGGGCTATGGAATTCTATGTTCCAGATCAGTTTCCTCCAAGATCATGAAGGTTAAAATTTCTACTGGTGACATTTGTAAGTTTTTTCAATAAACATCAAAGGCATACATAATCATTCCAGAGGTTTAAGATGCCTGGATTCTCCCTGCCTAGTGCTGTAAACCCTACAACTGTTTTCAGTTCAGCATAATATGTGTTCAAGCTCAGGCTCTTACTACATTTGAATAGAAGCAAAAATTCTTTAACCCAAGCCTCAGTGGATTTTTTTTTTAATTTGCAAAATAACGATTTAAAAATAGTACTTATTTCATAGGGTTGGGATAAAGATTAAACAAGATGCTGGCAGGAGGACGTATTCTGTGTGCCTGGTACTTAGCCTCAAAAATGTTCATTATTATTTAAAATAATGGATCTATCACTGGAAACTGGAAAAGACCCCAAGAAAAAGAGCTCCACAGCCAGAAAAGTTTCAATTCCACGCTCAGCTGCGTGCTCTGAACCTTGCCAAACTAATTGTAACACAGGTAGAGCACCATTACAGTGGAAAATTTCAATCTATCCCATACTCAGGAAGAAAAATTCTCTCTTTCTCTCTAAATTTATAGGCCCATTTGTCTCCTGGATACCCTTTCAAAATGCTATGCCAGTTTTTTTCTAAAATCTGCAGGAGTTCTAAAAACTAAATACCTTCCATGAATACTAAAAGGTTTTTGAGTACAACTCTCCTATTTTTTCATTTCTGCCATATTCTTTTGTTTCTTACTAAGAAAACAGTTTTCAAAAGAATAGAGGTTTTCGGGTATTAATTGATCTCACATCAGCATTTGATCCCAAAGCCAGGAATTATCATTGACCAGGATGCAAGCCTTTTTGTAGATGTCTCATACTATTGATTCTTCAAAGCCTGCACCAAAACACTAACAACAAAATCAGAGAACGGTAATTTGCGACATCAAAGTGCAAACGGGAATGGACAAAAGCGGACTGTGCCCTGACCCCTTTGTATTTTCATTTACATTTTAATGTAATGGCACAGGTTGAGATGGGCTGCAGCCACGCCCGCCCGCCAGAATGCACAGTCAATGCTTCTCTCTATTTGTGTAGCACATTATCACAAAGAAGAGAGCCAACTTCTGCTAAAAAGAACAGCTGGGACTACCTGAAAACAATCTATTTTGCAAACATTTTTTTAACTTTTAAAATGGACACTGCTAAGTTATCCCATCTAAGAAATCAATCAATTTAGCTACTTAGAGTTAAAATCGGCAGCTAATTCATTCTTGGGGGCCAATCAGGATGTAGGCCTAATAATAATAATAATAATAATAGCTAACATTTATTGAGCTCTTAGAATGTGCTAAGCTCTGTTCTAAGTTCATTATGTACATTAACTCATTTAATCCCTACATTTACTTGTGAGGAGAGCATTGTCCTTATTATTCTCCACTACGTGAGCAAGTTTATAGGGCCACAGAGGCCAAGAAACTCTTGTGAGCAGGAAGCTCTTAACATGGTTCAAGACAAAACTACTTTTGTTTTGCTTGAGAGGTAAGAATGGATCTTAATGGAATAATTTGTCAAGGGAAAAACAGAGTCAACATCCTTATCATAGAAGAATAAGCTAGGCACTGTGTACAAATAACTTTTATTAGTCACCCATCTCTTGAAGAAGAATGATAGTCCACTGGAGAAAAAGCCAAGCTAAGTTCCCATGTGTAAAATGAAGAGAAAAACAAATACCATATATTAACGCATGTATGTGGAATCTAAAAAACTGGTGTAGACAATCTTATTTACAAAGCAGAAATAGAGACACAGATGTACAGAACAAACGTATGTATACCAAGGGGGAAGGTGGGGTTGGGATGAATTGGGAGATCGAGATTGACATATATATACTATTGATACTATGTATAAAATAGATAACTAATGAGAACCTACTGTATAGCACAAGGAACTCTACTCAATGCTCTGTGGTGACCTAAATGGGAAGGAAATCCAAAAAAAGAGGGGTATATGTATACATATGACTGATTCACTTTGCTGTACAGTAGAAACTAACACAACATTGTAAAGCAACTATACTCCAATGAAACTTTTTTAAAAATAAAAATAAATAAAATGATAAACTCAATTCTGAGTTCTGTGCGTCTCTCAACCAAAGCACATGGGTCAGTTTTTATTCAACAAACATAATTCAGAAAACAGTTCCAATTTTTTATATGTCTCTGTTATCTTATTTTAATCACACTGTTTAATGTCTTCATAAAAATTTAAATTTGAAAGTAGGCAAGCAATGTTTGAGTGTGCAAATAAATATGAGTGAAAAATTAATTTTGTTTTATAAAATAAGAATAAATTTGAACCTAGGATGCCATATTATGAGCTCAGCATTTCTTAAATGTTTAAAGAAACTGCTGACTTATTTCATATCGCAAAGTAGTAATACAGAAATGTCTTGGATTTTTGTATTCATTTTATCCTATATATGGCACATAGGTTTATGAGGGTTTTTGCAATCATTTTCATTATAATATTATTTTTTTTAATTGGCAGAAAAATAATGAGGCATTATTCTGTGTAATTTTTAGATTTCAGAATTAAGCCATCATATATGCAAATAACTTCATATTTAAGGTGTTATATGACAACATATAACAAAGACTGTACACTGTAACCCAGTGAGATTTATCCTGGGAGTGCTAGATTGATTTAACATCCAAAAATCAATCAGTATAACACACCCCACCAATAGGATAAAAGACAAAAGCCATACGATAATCTGATAAATAATGGAGTTCAGGAAATGCTACCCAAAATATGGCACCTTTGCATACTGAATAAATTAAGCTGAAGGAGTTCAAGAAAACAGCAGTAGCAAGAAGGTCACTCTGACCTTCCCTTCCCTTATCCCCTAAACAGGCCATAAAACCCTCACGTGAGAGGTGCCCTCCCTGCACCAGAAGAAAGGAGCTTTCTTATCTCCGAAGACAAAGGTTCACCAAGAAGAATCAACGCTCGCATCTTATTTGTCTTCCTCAGTTTGCCACACTTGCTGTACAATCTCTATCATATCATATTCCTCCATGAATGTCTGCTCTTCACGAGAACCAGCATAAATACACCAGGTCTGTTTCTGCAGGTCTCCATTTCCTTACGAGGTTCCCATGTCACATAAAACATACATTAAATGTATCTGTATGCTTTACTCCCATGAAACTGTCTTTGTCAGTTTCATTTTCAGACCCAGTCAGAGACCCTAAGAGGGTCAAGGAGAACTTTTTCCTCTCCTACATACATAAAGGAAAAGCATTTGCTAAAACCCAGCACCCTTTCATGATTGATTTTTTAAAAATACCCAACAAAGAAGGAATAAAAGAGAATGTCTTTCCTGATAATGAGCATCTATGAAAAACCCAAACCCACAGCTAACATCATACTGAATGGTGAATGGCTGGAAGCTTCCCTCCTAAGACAGGAACATGACAAGGATGTCTTCTCTCCATTTGTACTCAACATTGTACTGGAGGTTCTAGCCACAGCAATTAGGCAAGAAAAGGAATAAAAGGCACCCAGATTGAAAAACAGGATATAAAATTAACTCGACCTAAAGATGACACGGGTCTTGAAAATTCTAACGATCCACAAAAAACAATTAGAGTTTATAATAAGTAAGCTCAACAGGGTCTCAGGATACAAAATCAATATACAAAAGTCAATTGTGTTTCTATACACTTGCAATGAACAATCCGAAAAAGAAATTAGGAAAACAATTCCATTTATAGTAGTATCAAAATAAAACACATAGGGATAGATTTAACAAAAAAAGTATAAGGAAAGAAGTTCAGTTAGTACCCTGAATACTGCAAACGCTATTGAAGGAACTTTTAGAAGACCCGAGTAAAAGGAAAAACATCCCATGTTCCCATGCACTTTGAGTGGATGAATTGAATGATATGTGATGTTAAAATGCTGCATGGCTTACAAGATATAAAAATACACATCAGCACCACAAGGTAATAATAGTAATACCCACCTATGCATAAGTTACAACCTACTTAAAAACAGGAGACAATGTTTCGAAACTGAAAAAAATGGTTCTTCAGTTTCTCCTACTAGGATTATTGAACCAAATTCAAAATATAGTTTTAGCATGTGTACCAAATACAAAAATTACCTATCTTCATTAGAAGTGGTCTGAAGCCACTGCACAGCCGTCTCCACGTTTCAAGCTGATCTGGCATCTTACTGTCACTACGTGAAAATCAATTTTATGAGCAACTGTATACACTTAACAGAACAGCTATTTTTTTAAAAAATGTCGTAATGTCTACTCATAAATCTATATGAATCCAAACAGGGGCCTTTAGAGTGAAGTAAATAAAGCTCAGCAGTTTTGCATCTTTTGGGAAAGCATAGTTTTGGATATGAAATACGTTTCTTCACGATGTAAATTTAATGAACATCATCAACATTTCAAAATAATTGATTATGATTTAGAGATCTTGATAGGAAAGCCCTTAGAATACAAACTATAAAGCTTTCCATTTTAAGACGAAACGACTGCTTTCTTTAAAATCTTTATTTGCATGTTTTCCCCATAAACTTAGCGATTCAGGAAAAAATAACTACAGAAAGGCCATCATCAAAACCATTTAAAGCTCACAGTTCAACACGTTGTTGTAGCATCCATCACCTTGGGACAGAGCCTGTTTTGTGATTCTGTATCTCCTAACAGCAGTTTGCAAAGCCAATTAAGTATCAGCACCGGTATTCTCCAAAGGAGAGACATAAACTCCATTTCTATGGCTGCAGGCAGCTGGGCTTGGAAAGAATGCACAAAACTGCAGGAGACACATTTCAGGAAGGCTCTGATAGAAGGAAAAGCATTAAGTCTTTCTCTCTTACTGAAGGCGATGACTCGGATCCTGCGGGATGGGAGGGGCTACACCTGAGGAGCTATTTTGTTGGCCAGTGGCCACCACACCTATACCCAGGGCAGCAGGGACACCTGCCTTGTGGTGAGGTTTGCTCTGGGAAACGGAGTGCTCAGCCCATAGTAGGCCTACAGTATTACTGTCTGACTTTTTACCTCCCGGTAAGAGGTGAATCAGAGGCCCTGAATATTCATGCACATTAGAAGATCTCATGGCACTTTTCCAAGCCCGAGGCTATGACTCTGAGAATTTGGCCAAGTTCCAACTCAGGTAATTATATTCTGCTTCCTAAATTTGCCCTGCTGTTCCCATTAGGGACAGCATTGTTCATTTTCTTGCCTTTTCAGAAAAAAAGGGGCAGAAATTCTTCTTGAACTCGCCAGTCTTGCTGACAGAATAAAAGGCCAAGCGCCATGCTACAAAAGTAACGTCTGCCTTAGTAATGAACAAGATGACTGCTGAGCTTGAACTTGGAGCACCAGGTAAAGATCTCAGAGGGGAGAACCCCTCTGGATGGAATCAGACAACAGTGTCATGAGAGCCCATCAGATACCAACCACCCAGGCTTCTCTGAAACCACCACAGGGAGTGATCATGGCGCCAATCTCTCAATCCATGCAGTAAAAGCAGACACTCCTGCGTGTGTTGGTATTTCTAATATCAGTGTAGATATAACCATTCTCTCATGAATTTGGGTGGGGACCCTTCAGCAGAGATCTAGAATCGTCTGAATGAGCCAATTTCTCTTTTATGCCAGGGATCCTAAAACATAAAGCAGGCTGCCATCCCTGGGATGGTCAAAGATTTAATGTCTGACAATATCAATTTGGGGCAAGGATATAGGGCAAATGAAATGTCCGTGCATTGCTGGTGGGCATATAAACTGGTCAGACATTTTTCATAGCATCTAGTAAAACTAAAAATGTTTCTACCCTACCGCTCAGCAATTCTGCCTTGAAGAATACACCTCGCCCAAGCTCTCACACACCGCATGCAGAGGCGCGCACACACACACAGATGTTCACGGCAACCGTGTTTGTCATAGAGGAAAACTGGGGTGAGGGGGACTAAGTGTTCGTAGAGGAAAAGAAAAAATAGAATGTAGTATATTCGTATGATACAATCTCATGGATTGACTTAAATACAATGCTAAGTGGGGAAAAAAAGAATACAGAGTAATTTGTACAGTTCACTACCATTCATCACAATTTACAAAAGGCAAACATAACTGTCTTACTTTTTATGAACATGTAGTGATTATGGGAAACTCAGTGCACGTACACACACACACACACACACACACGCATGCAAGAACATGCACATACACACATGCGCACAGGCACACATGCAGACACACACATGCACACACATATGCACGTGCCCACACAAGCACACGTGCTGGTACACCTAAGCACACACACAGACACCCACATTTGCAGACTTTTGCTTGCTCAGCTCCCAAAGCTCTATGCCGGGGTTGGATGTGGATGTTCCCTTAGTCCTTATTCCTGATTTTCACTTTAAAGACATTTAGATATGTACAATGACATCACACATGATGCACATGTTTTTGAACTTCTGGGCTAGCACAGCACCACCCAGAGGCCCATCAGGGACTCTCTGAGTAGGACGGCCTCCCCCAGGTTTTAGTGCCTTCTCTTATCCATAACATAAATACACCCCCAACCACGTCCCCGGATGATTAGAAGCTGAGGTAACTTACTACATGGATGTCCTAACACCTTCACTTCATCAATGGCGAGGTAGCCTTGATGTCCAGAAGTTACGACTTCAAAAATCACCTGGAAAGTTAAGAAAGGTGTTCATTATTCACTCATTTTGTCAACTTTTACCAAATATTTCCTATATATAAGATATGTAGTTTCAACCATTCATTGATGTTTTCCAAAAATATTAATGGAACGCCCGATATCTGCCAGTCAGTGTTCCGGGTTCTAAAACTACAAAAACAACTAAGACTCAAACCCAGTTTTCAGGGACATGAACGGCGGTGGGTCAGACAGCACTGTACCTCAAGGACTCACCTCATAAAAGTGGGGCAGGGTACCATGGTCAAGAACTGATACGTGGAAGACAGAGGCTGAGTCATTTTCCAGAGGCGATAAGATTTAAATTGCTTTAAGATGACATCTCTTCTGGTCAACTTCTTTGAGGAAACTCTAGCACCAGACTGAACCACATGGGGCCCTAGGTTTTATACAACTAATATATACAATTAAAATTTTAAACATATTATGAAAGAAGAGGACAGGATACTAGAAGAACATATACCAGATGGCCTCCCATGAGGAAGTGGCGTTTGAGCTGATAGCTGAAGGTGAATGAGCTAACGGTGTGAAGAGGATAAGGCACCTTCTGGGGCAGGTGCAAAGGCCCTGAGGTGGACATGACGGTGGCCATGAAGAGGAGAACTGCGATCTGCAGCTATAAAGGTCAGCTGTGACCCAGCTCGGAGATCCCAGGAAACACAGCACATTAGTAATACAGAGAAGAGACTATACTAGCTGAAATTCAGATGGCAGAGTATCAATTAGGAGGAGAACGATATAAAAATCTCTGCAGTGGCAAAATCAAGAGGGCTTTATGACTGTATGGTCCTGGGAGAAGCAGGGCAATAGAAGAAGGGCAACACGCTCTGAGGTTCTCAGAATGACATCTTTGAGATGGTGGAGCCACTTCAGAGAAATTGAGGCTAAAGGAGATAAAAGAACCAGTAACGAAGTTATCAATGTTCTTAACATGATTGTCTAAAGGTGTCTGTTGTCAGGCTAGTGTTAATGATAAAAGGTCCACATGACATTATTTTCACCTCCATTTCTACACAGCAGGAAACTGTGTCACCAGGGAGACCACGGCTCATGCAACATGAGGAGGGTCCGTCTAACACACAACCCAGCAACTGCACCACTGGAGAAATGAACATTTTCATTCCTATAAAAACCTGCATATGTCAATCCCTATAAACAGTACTATATATAAACTAGATAACTAATAAGGACCTACTGTATAGCACAGGGAAGTCTACTCAGTACTCTATAATGGCCTACATGGGAAAAGAATCTAAAAATGAGTGCATATATATATATGTGTATCACTGACTCACTTTGCTGTACACCTGATACTAACACAACACTGTAAATCAACTATACTCCAATAAATTTTTTTTAAAAACCTGCACACGAATGTTTATAGAAGCTTTTATTTATGACAGCCAGAAACTGGAAACAGTCCGGATGCTGTTCAAATGGTAAATGATTAAACCGACAGTGGTACGTCCATAGTGTGGACACACCTGACTTGGATGAATCTCCAGAGAACTGTGCTGAGTGAAAAAGCCCATCATGAAAGATTACACGCTATTTGATTCCATCTACGTAGCATCATGTCATGTCAACATTTTAGAAATGGAGGACAGATGAGTGGTTGCCAGGGCTCAGGGATGGGGGGAGAAGGAACAGGAGGGAGGTGGGTGTGGTTACAAAAGGACAACAGGAGCAATCCTTGTGATGCTGGAAGTGCTGAGGTCTGGACTGTGGTGATGGAGGCGCAAACCTACCCAGGTAATAAAATCGTACAGCTCGTAGCAGCGTCAGTCACAACAGCGCGGAAGGAACCCAAGTGTCCACTGATGGATAAGTGGATAAGCACAATGTGGTCTCTCCATACTACGGAATATTATTCAGTCTTAAGAAGGACAAAAAAAATTCTGACACATGCTATGATACGGATGAACCTGGAAAACATGACGCTCAGTGAAATAAGTCAGTCCTAGAAGGGCAAATACCCAGAGTAGTAAATTCACAGAGACAGGAAAGAGAATGGTGGTTGCCTGTGGCTGGGCGGAGAGGCTGGGAAGTTATTGTTTTATGGGTGCAGAGTTTCAGTTTTACAAGACGAAAGAGTTCTGGAGGTGAAGGGTGGTGATGGTTCCACAAGACTATGAATGTATTTAATACCCCTGAACCGTGCACTTAAAGATGGTTACGATGATACATTTTAAGTGATTTGTATTTTATCACAATAAAACAGTGAAAACATTATATAGCAGGAAATACACCCACATGCATACACAAGTACAAGTAAAACTGGGGAACTCTGAAAAAGCTCTAGATTTTAACAATGTCATTGTGACATTATACTTGAGGTTACCATCAGAAGAAACTGGGTGAAGTGTACATAGGAATCTGTATTATTTTTTACTACTGCATCTGACTCCACAATTATCCCCATAAAATTTTCAATTTAAAAAAAGTAATTATAAGTGACGATTTACTACACACAAAACATGTTACATACCCTGGGCAGATATTACTCCACTGTCTTATTTATTATTTCACATGAAGAGATTCTTCAAGGATTCAATATTTCAAGAACAAAGAGATTAGTCCAAAAACATGCGATGCGTCTATGGCGGGTGTAACTTAAAATCCCAATCTTTCTGATTCCAAATATCGTGGCATTTTCACTACTGTCCGTTGCCTGAATGAACACTGCAACCAAAGGACTGCATTATTTATGTTTGTGTGACGGATGCAAGCATGGAGGAAGCAATGAGCAGGACCCCCAATGGAAAAGCTCGGGGGCTTCCCAGATAGAAGTCATCCCAGAAACACCTGCTATACTAGACGTCCCTGTGCCAGGATGCCACCAAGCTGAAATACAAAACACACAGGGGGAGGAGGGGCCCAGCAGGAGAACAGATATGAAATGAAACTTGCTCCTGTTTAGGAGGTTAATATACATATTTTTCACTGATAGTACAGAGAAAGGAAGAGATGCACAGATATTCCTGCAATGGGATCTTGCTAGCTTCTCTCTCTACTGAAGTCTGAGACAGGACAACTGAGGGGCAAAAAGCAGATGGATACTGAGAACAAGTGGAGGAAAAAGCCTTCCCAGGGCTCTCCAGACAGGGCTCCCGGGAAACGGCCATATCCTGCCTGGGAGGAGCAGCATCTGCAGGCAGAGCAGGAACCGGCCAGATGCTCTGGTCAGAGTGGCCACAGCACAGACTGATGCCCAGCACCACCAGTGACCCAAGAACGCCATCACTCTGGCCATGAAAAGGGCACTTTGAGAGCCAAACCCAGAAGTTCATGCATCTTTCCTGCCTTCTTCCCTCCCTCTTATACATTCATTCATCCAGTTCAAGTCTCCACCAAGCACCTCTCTACTCCAGGCACTTGGAGTACATCATGAACGGAATAGATGAAGATCCCTTTCCTCAGCAGGTTTGTCCTTCTTCTTACCAAAAGTTATATTTTTTCCTTTATCAACTACAAGGGCTGAAGCTTCCCATAAAAATGGAATAATCCTCATTTTTAAAGGGATGCATTAACCCTTAGAATATAATGTACATATATAAAGCATGCTTATGTGGATCTGTTTTTAAAAGTTGACACGTGTAAATTTAATGCACCATATTTAATTGAATCCAACACAAGGCCATGGCCCTACCATGGAAAAGGAGAGAGAAAGGAAGGGGGGGAAGGAATTAGACACTAGAAAAGCCAGCTTAAAACCTCTGAATCTGTTTTTTCATCCATCACATTAAGAGAACTTAGGACCCTCAAAAGTTTTATGCCCAGAGGGCTTCCCTGGTGCCGCAGTGCTTGAGAGTCTGCCTGCCGATGCAGGGGACACGGGTTCGTGCCCTGGTCCGAGAGGATCCCACATGCCGCGGAGCGGCTGGGCCCGTGAGCCATGACCGCTGGGCCTGCGCGTCCGGAGCCTGTGCTCCGCAACGGGAGAGGCCACAACAGTGGGAGGCCCCGTGAACAAAAAAAAAAAAAAAAAAAAAAAGTTTTACGCCCAAAGATTCTGAGCCTTATTGTCCAAATATTTATAGAATATTTACTACATGCTCTGGGGGGGGGCATCAAAAAATTAGACAATTTCATGAAATATAAGCTTTAGTTGGAGAAAAAATAAGTAACAGTGAAAGAACAGAAGGGAGACAAGAACAGCCAAATGACAGATGGGAACAGTATGGAGCTCGTCGGACCATGAACCTTCCCCTCCTCCTTTCTTAACCAGCAGGATGCCTGTGATACACCCAACACTACCTCCAGCCCAATTCTCAGCCTGCTAAGTGCAAACCCACAGATGCCTGAGCAAGCACTTACCCAGCATCTCAGCCAGGCTAGAGCCAGAGCAAGACTCAGCAAGAAGCCAATTGCCCAAATTTCCCAGCAAGATGACTCGCCAGTGAGGCCACAACCAAAGAAGTGAACATAAGTTTACACCTGAAACTTTGCTGCTCTCAGTCTTCCAGCTGGAATACCAAGAAGCAAAGAAAGCCAGAGTCTGATTACAGATACACCGGAGACCAATGGACTGGCCCTTTCCTTTAACTGGAAACTTCTGAAGCAAACTTCTGAACTTGGCAGGTTCCAGCACTGACTTACAGCTAACTGCAGGGACAAAAAGAGGAAAACAATCTTTATAGATATGTTTATGGGTCTGTGTCTATACACCTGCACACAGATGCACAGACATGTAGATTTCTATAAAATAGATAAATAAAAACTTAGTATGACACCTTAGGTTTTAAACAACAGAAGGTGCATAATGTGTTGCAAGTTTGAAGCAATCACTTCAATGTTTCTTTCCAAAAAATTGAAGCACTTTTTTTTTTTTTTTTTTGCGGTACGCGGGCCTCTCACTGCTGTGGCCTCTCCCGTTGCGGAGCGCAGGCTCCGGACGCGCAGGCTCAGCGGCCATGGCTCACGGGCCCAGCCGCTCGCGGCATGTGGGATCTTCCCGGACCGGGGCACGAACC